CAAATTCCACAGTAAGGGATATATTATTACGTTGCAAATGTTGAATTTAGGAAGAGAATGAAATTTGTATTTATTTTGTAGCTGAGAGTTTGAGTAAATGAGTTATAGAATAATTCTGAGAGCTGCGCATTTAGAAATAACATTGGCACTAAACAGGAAATCTACAAAAAGAATTAAAAAGGAGAATAAAAAGAGAGGGTCAACATTGCCTAGAAAATTAAAATTGAGATATGTGTGGTATGTTTTAATGTAAGAATAGTTTTGTTTACATTGTTACACATATGAATGAGAAACAGATTTTTTTTTTTTTTTTTTTGGCAGAACCAGGGATTGAACTCAGGCCCTTAGTGCTTGCCAGGGAAGTGCTTATTCCACTGAGCCATCTCCCCGGCCCCGAGAAACAGATTTTGAAAAAGAAAAAAATCAAGATCTAGATTTATGCTGCTGAAAAGAATAGATGAAAATTAGATGGGTGAAAACAGAATCAGAAGGCTTAGGAAACATTACTACGCTAACTTCTCTGGTTTATAATCGGATTAGGTAGAGAATAATAACAATTCAGTATTAATACTAACTTAAAAATTATTTAAAATATATATTTCCTATAACAAATACTTCCTGTGATCTTCTGTTTAAAATAAATGTGTAGTCCTGTAAAAACAGCAAGATACATAGAATGATGAGGTTATTAGTTCTTGTAAATGAATGGACATTTTTTTAAAGGTTGAAATAAACACTCAAACTAGTCAGAAATTACTGGGTGTTACCTGGGTCCTCATCTTTATTTGTCTTGTCTGGTAGATACTGTGAGTACTTTTGAAGTCACTGGAATGGAACAAATGTGAGACATTGTTTTTATCCAGTGATGAAGCTGTCAATTATTAAAACAGTAACTTTCCTGTGTTTTGGGTTTAACTGGATTAATCAGTGATACTCAAAGGGAGCGGTCCATATTGGACTAGAAAACTTATTTTAAAAATCCACCTCAATTTGTTCTGTGTTTGGTAGATCCTACAAGTACTCTTGAAGTCCCTGGAATGGTAGTTTACAAGTGTTAATATTTTTCACTCAGTTAATTTCACATTTATAAATTATTAAGGGAGGGACGCATTTTGGTGTTTGGGGCTTAATCAGTATTATGTATAGAAAGAGGTCATTATGGGCAAGAAAGCTTAATAGGAAATTAGCTTGTATTTGAACCAATTAAAAGTATCCATTGAGGACATAGCACAGTTAATATGTTAATGTTTCCCAAGCTGCCTTATTATTTGAAGATAGGTTGAGAACAGATCATGGTAATAAAAGCCCTATGACAGAGAATAGAAATGAAAAATAACCTCACTGTTATATTGGTGAGATTGGAATCGGTTGTACTTACATTTTCCTGATATACTGTGTATGTGAAAGTGTGAAACTGAAATGCTGTGCTATGGGAAGTACTGATGTTATTATTGCCCATGACCCTAGATAGAAACTGGAGAACAGGAACACGAGACCTTGAGGTTCATGGACACATTCTAAGGAGAGAGTTCAGTGTAGAGAATGCTGGTTGGAGGTTGTGGGCCAAGTAGGGTCCATTAGAGCCAAAGTGAGGTCATCCGTACTAGTGCATGGAAGTGGAGATCATCTTGCTACCAGGTTGGTGAGTCGTTGGCTTGGATGCACAGGGCTGTGGATAAAGATGAAGACATGGTAGAAAAGAACAGTAGGTCTAAGTGTTAGGAAGCTTGTGCAAGAAGGTGGAAGTACCTTCAGTCTTGAGAGGTCAACAGTGGTGATGGTTTGGAGAGAAGGCTAGGGCACTGAGAAAGCCTTTTCCTTGTCTCCCAGTGTGTGGTCCCAATGGTGTCATCTTGAGCCCTTGTGAGTGGTCCTTTTATAAATAATTGCTTGTTTCTGAATTTGTAGGTCACATAGAAACAAAAATTAATAGAGTTACGCTTTATTATGATAGGTACTACTAGAACAAGTTCTTTGAGGTACATAAAAAAATCTGTCCAGGTGGGTGGAGACATTCCATTATTTACTAAGATTATCAAACATCCGAGTTTTCCTAGAACTGAGAGGTTTCTGATAGTAATAAGACTAAAACTTGGACAGTTCTGGAGAAACTGACTTTGTCCACCTCCTACCCATTTTATCAATTCATAGAAATGACTAGCGGTACCATTTTATACACGATCCCTATGTATGAAAAAGTAATATTCCTGTAAAATTACGTCCCATATTCTGTATTTTATATTTTTATAAAATCCTTTTATACTTCATTGTTGCTAACTCTGATATATTTAGAAGAAGTGATTGGTTGATTCAGTCATCTTTATTTTTGGTACACTATCTTGAAAACTAGACTCACAATTGAAGCAGAAACTTGGTCTTCTGCCATTTTTGTATCTTTAGCATGAAGACCAGGCAACCAGTAAGTAGGTTCATTAATTGATCAAGGCAGATGAATTTGAGGTAGTACCTTGCTGGGTTTTCAGAGTCTTAATGGCATAATATACAGAGTGAATCTGGTCTATTCTAATGAGGTGGTTTTATTTTATTTATCTATTTTTCTGTATTTTATGGGTCTACAGGGTGTTTAGGATCTCACTGCTAGATTGGACTCATCATGATTCTCCTGTTTACAGCCTCCCAAGTGCTGGGATTACAGGCACGTGCCAGCACGTCCAGTTGCCATCTCAGCGTGCCCCGGGGTTGAGGCCAGCACAGCAGGCCTGGGGATCGAACCCCTAACCCCTGAGCCTGCTTGCAGGTGCTTTAATCCACTAAGCTATTTAGCCGGCCCTTAATGAGGTGGTTTTAATTTTGTTTTTGACTTAAGGATGATATCTTGAGGTAAGGAGGCAATCAAGATACGATTTACTAGTGAGGCTTTGGTGGATCTATAATTTCAGTGTACTCTTGCAGTTGAATGATAATGAACTTTTATATAATCTTGTGGTATTTTTAGGGTTGGACATGATTGACATAGATACACCTGACCATATCAATGAATATAGATTATAACTTAAATTCCTCTAGAGGAATAGCTAGTTTGTTGTATAATTTGTTACAATTTAGGCTTATTTGTTCCTTTTGCTGCACCCATTTTCTAAATTCCTGAACCTGAAGTGATCCTACGATTTTTCTGAATGCTCATATCCTATATGCCAAAGACATCTGAAATATAGTCACAGCATCCTGCAGTTTATTGTCCCTGTGGCTCTGTGATAAGCACAGTATTAATATTGCATAGCAAAAGTTGATTAGCCACCTTGTTGGTCCTTTTCGCATTTATCCCAAAATACCACCTTCATGAATAAGCCTGTAATCTTCCATTGATTTAATACCATTTGCATAAACTTTGATTCCAAAGCAGCTCCTGCTCATGAACCAGTTTCCTCATGAACCAGTTTCCTCAGCCAGAGTCTTTGAACTGCATGTGTCCAAAGTAAAACTTTCTCACTTCCACTGAAAATGATAACTAGTCTTCATTAAATGATTACTTTGTGTCAAGGTACTAAGTATTTACATGTTCTTTTTTTTTTCCTTTTGGATTTTAATTATGTACATAAATAGCGACATGAGAACAAGGTGTTCTAAGGCTTGTACTTTATCTCTAGGTGAAGGATTTCACATTAGTCCACTTGCAGTATGGCATCACCCAAGATAACAAAAAGGCCTAGTATAATTTTTCCTGAAGAAAAAGCCAGTTTTCTACATTCAGTATTGCCTTCTCTGCCACTTTTCTGTAGAAATACTGACTTACTGTCTGGAGTTTCCAATGTTTCCTACAACTTCTGGAAGTTCTCCTTCCACAAATCTTCCACAACTATGTATCCTCATAGACCTCAGTCATACAACTTCTCCCCACTGGCCTGGATGAAAGAGATGGCTTGTTGTAGATAGTAGATAGAGGCTGTTAATCCCATGAAACCAGGCGGATACACCAGCTTTTTTATTTTTGAACCTCTAGTGAAAAGGAGTCCAACAAAGCCAGCGAAACCAATAACACCAAGTCTTGGGAAAAAACCCGGGGGAGCATTTTGGAGATATTCATAGCTGTCTAATCCCCACTGAACCAAACTTTGCATCTTGGGTTTAGTTTGGGAGTATGTTTCCTGGCACCAATTTGTATATGGCTCACAGTGATGTCGGAGCTGTGAGATGCCTTCTTCAGGCTGGGTCCTTGGCTCCTCCATGTATTTAGACTGACCCTCAGGCACTGAGTAGAGTGACAGCTCATCAACCTTCATGGAGTTTTTGTGAGGTGAGTCCTTTTTGGGTGCAGCATAGACTCTGAGGTGAGCAAGCTCAGGCTGGCCGGGCCCACAGATTTCTGAAGTACCTTGAACATGTCTCTGGCAGTGGCGGCTCCGGCAGGGTCACCCCGGCCTTGGCCCTGCCTACTCTACATGTTCTATATTACTTAATCCTTATTATGACATGAGATGGATGGCCGTACTTTTCCTTATCTACTGAGAAACAAAAGACTGAGCCACAGATAAAATAGCTTCATTTCACAGTTCTTAAGTGACAGATGCTGAGTCTTGTGTTCACAGTTGGGTCTTGTAGACATGGTACCAGATTTTCACCACATATTTGTTCTTCTTCTCCCCCCTTGCCTGGATATAGACCCATAATCCACAGTGATTGTCAAATGTGATTTTTTTGGTGGTTCACCTTCCTTTTTCTGTACACCCCTCTGCAGTGCCACAGCATCTGGTCAGAGATGTTACATTTTGCTCATTAATTGTTCATACTACCGATGCTCTTGTTCAGGTGTGCTTACTCTCTCATGTCTATCCTCATAGCTGCTGAGGTTATGTTTTCTAAAATACAGTTCTTATCATTGAGACTGTACTGTGCCTAGTTTATTTAGACTGTCATAGAAGCAATTTCCAAGGAGCCTGTGCAATTTAGTGTATTGGATTATCTGCTTTCTTTTGTGTGCCCCTGTATACTATTTCATCTGTTTTAGTTACTGTCACACTGAAAGCTATTTTTGTTTATAGGGTTGTCTCCTCACCAGACTATGAGCTCCTTGAAAGAAGGAACCGTGTGCTATTCATCTTTATATTCCCAGACTGGGACAACTGTCGATACATAGTAAGTGATTAACATTTTTAAAACGAATAATGTACTTAACAAACTCGATGTGTATTGATAGTTAACTGTACCTGTGTAGACCTAGTAATACTGTATGTTGTTACAAAAAATTTGGCTGTAATCTTAATACTTTCAGGGCTCAGTGTCCTCATTTTTAAGATAGTAGCTACTTACTCGCTATGTTATTATGATGCTCGGATTAAGAAATACCTGTTTAATAATATGTTCTTTAAGCATCACACAACTTTGTTATTAAATGAAATTTGGGTACTAATTGTATGTTGTGTTGTTCCTTTTATTTATGTGTCTTTTTAAGGTAAGATGGTATCATTTTTGAACAATTTTGTGTTCCTTTGCAGTTACTAATGAGCAGAGGTATGTGTCCTTAACATGCTTGCAACAAAGCAGTAATCTGTGTCTGAGTGCCAGGTGGCTCTAAACCACCAGTGGGTCAAGTTGTCAGGAATGTGTTAAGTTGTAGAACTAGTTTATACAGAAGTGTACATTTAGAATGGAGAGAGAAATATGTTGGGCCTGGGAATTGGGGCACACAAAGTGTAATATAATAGGATGAAACATCTTTTACTTGGTTACCCTGGTTGGCAATGAGTCCTAGTGTGCAGAGTAGCTTTTTTTTTTTTTTTTTTTTTTTTCCTAATGTATTTAGTACAGGGTCTACAGGGTCTCACTACACAGATCGGACTTGTACTGATCCTCCTGTTTTCAGCCTCCCAAATGCTGGGGTTACAGGCGTGCGCCATCACGCCCAGGCTCATTCCATCTCAGCATGTCCCGTGGGCAGGGCCAGCACAGCACGTTGGGCAACAAACCCCAGCTGCTGCGCTCTGCCTAAGCAGGTGCTTTAGTCCACTGAGCTATCGGGCCAGCCCCTTTTATGCATTTTTAACATTATTAAAAATGTATAATTTGATCATGCCAGATTCTTTGTAACATTGATGTTGGTAATAAGCTCAGACATTTTGAGCTATCCATTTGAAACCAAAATCTAGGTCAGTACCATGTGGCTAAGGATACACCTGTGAATGCTTCCCCAACACCATATTCCAATCTTTTTCCAACTTCCAAAGTAATGGCCATCCTAACTTTGTTTTTCAGCTCCTTTTGTACTACCACAGATGCAGTTGCTTTGAGTTCCATCATTTTTCTGTCTGTAGAGTTGTTATAGCTTGCACAAATAGTATTTAATTGTAGAGGAAACTCTACAATTTTATGCATGTCAAGGAAAACAAACAGAAAAGAATACATAGAAACATCATAATATGTAAATTCAAATTTGTAAGTGGGAAGTAATTGGAGACTTAATTCTGGACTGTGTAGATACGCTGTCTAGTGTAACGCTCCTTACAGAAAGTCCAGAGATGTGAAGAGTCTAAGATGCACAGATGCATTTCTATACAGTAGGTTTTTTTATCACCTGCAAATGCATTTCTGTTAGATTCATACAATACTCCTAAGACTGACAGCTCTATCGTTCAGTAGCTTCTTTGGACCACAGTAATTCTTAAGTGCACTTTATGTAATTGCATGTTTGTTACACAACTTTTTGATGCTCAGAATCCACAGTGTCCCACATTTCTGGATGTCCTTTTCAATTATGGAATTATAGAAGTTTTCAAATAAAACTTCTGTCTGTAGAGTTATAACAAAACATGAGGTCACAGTAACCATCAAAAGAGGTCCTTTCTTTATCATAAGGATTTAGAAATCTTTCTTGTTGATGTTAGTATAGAATGTTAAGTCTTGGAGTAGAACTGATTACGAAGAAGATGTTAAAGGTGAGAAGTCCTGTTTCTCTTTTTTTTTATTTCCTCTTTCTAAGATACATTCATATTGTTGCCTACAATGATAGTTTATTCATTCTCACTGCCTTATAGTGCTACGTCATGTGAATTTGCCTTTTTCTAATCAGTTTTCTACCAGTGCCTTTAGTAGTTTTAATTTTTCTTATAATGAAGAATCATATAAGAACATGGGGACAGCTGCTCTTTGAAGGGCATGCATATGTGCAGCTTTATATATAATGTTAGATTGTTTCCTAGCAAGATTTCACCAATTCTAGCAGTATATTAGAGCTAGCAACTTTTCCATATTTCTTTTCTACTTAGTTTATCCTTGTGTCAGTCGCTGTGACCAAATACCTGAGAAAAGCAATTATGAGGAGGGAAGATAGATTTTGACTGTCACAGTGGTTTCTGTGCATGGTTAGCTGGCCCCATCGCTTGTGGAGAGGTAGACATTTCCACCTTGAAAGGGTGGAAGAGAGCTACTCTTTCATGGCACCTGTGGAGGGGTGGTGTCCTGGCAGCCTCCTCTCCCAGAATTCCTCTTTGTTCCTTTTTGTTCCATCAGCCTCTCCCCCTCAATTTCTTCTGTGTGGTGGTTAATTGACCAGTTGTTCAACTTGAGTAGGGCACGCTGAGCTGAACTGAGTCATCATGGTTCTGGGACTGGAAGGCCCACTGAAGAAGTTGTTTTTAATTGTATAAAAGGAGAATGGGAGGAGAGGGTTTCAGCTGATCTTCCTTGGAGGAGGTTTGTTCAGGTTGCTTTTCTTCACGGGTGTTGGACTTCTGCAGCTGATTTCCAGTCTTCGTTTTTTGCCAAGGATGGCAGCTAATCTCCTTGGACGAGCTCTGGGTCTTGCCCTTCCCCCTAGGTGTCATCTCTTGGCTTTCAGCATGGCCTTTGGACCTTCTAGCAGATACCTAGCTTCCAGTAGCAGCCCATGGGCTTTTGGTCCCAGATTGCATTCCTCAGCCTTCTGATAGCACCTGTACAGGATATTGCTGTGGGTTCCAGGCCTTTGGCTGCATTCTTCAGGTCTCTAGGGTGTACAGATGGATGGGTCTCTTGCATTTTTCTATGCCTGACTCTGTGGATGAATACTGTCAGTTAGGGGCTGGGGAGATGGCTTAGTAGAATAAGCACTTCCCTGGCAAGTGCAAGGGCCTGAGTTCAATCCCTGGTTCCGCAAAAAAAAAAAAAAT